CCCCACACTTGGAGATTTCCTTTACTTCCTATGTGCCCACAAATATAATTTTAAATTACATTTTATGTGGCATCTAGTTGTGTGATGGTGAGAGGGCCTTGGGAGTATCTAGTCCACCATACTGAAGTCTCTGCTGACATCCATTATCCTATTTTATCCAGAAATCACTCTCAGAAGTAGGCATTTTCCTCCCCAGTTTACAAGTGAGGAAAGTGAGTGCCCGAGGGGCCAAGTGACGCACCCAAGGCCATCCATAGAGCTGGGACTTTAAAACCAATTGGAGTAAGAGGCTGGCGTTAGAGACCCAGATTATGCCCTCACCCCGCATGCCTGCTCCCCCTGCCGCTTGATACCTTCTGGCGTTTGTAAATGGTGGGCAGTGGGGCCACCTCACAGTCCTTGTGGGCACCAAAGACCTTGCAGAGAGAGCAGGTGGGCACCTCACAGCTCAGGCAGTAGATGTTGATCTTCTCCTCTTCATGCTCCTCGCACATGAGGTGCTGCTCAGCCTTGGAGTGCAGTGGCCTGAGGGGAGTGGGCAGGGTGGCAGGAGGGTCAGGGGCCAGGCCGGGGAGGGGGGCGGGTGAGGACTGAGAGTGTGAGGCCCCATGAACACCTTTCCTTCAGTCTCTACCAACCATCACCACCTTTTCTGCCCCTGCAGCTGGGGCTGGGGCTGGGCAGGTGAGTGACTTCCACAGTGCTCTTCATCTGAGGAACAGAAGATGCTAAGGGGTAGAGGAGGCTTAGATCCTAGAATAGTCTCCATTCCAGAAGGCAGAGCGGTCCCACAGGGCAGGAAGTAATGGAGGGTTGGCAAGGACCCGCGAGTGGACTGCCAGCCCTTCCCAGGTGGAGAGTGAAGGCGAAGCAGTGACCAGGAATCAGAGACCACCCCAGCGGAGTGACCTGGGACAAGTCCTTCCCCTTCTCCGCTCCCCTCTCAACTCTCAACTGAAGGGGCAGGTTGATTTGGTGCCTCTCCCTTCAACCCCATGGGTTCCCAGGCTGTGCCCCAGGCCCTGCCCTCTAAAGAGACAGGAGGCCCTGACAGCTCACCGGGAAGACTCCTGCTTGTAAATGTCGATGATGTTCTCCACCAGCAGGTTTCGTTGCAGGCCGTAGACACCATGTCGGTCCAGGACAACCTCATGCCTGCAAGATGGGCAGCGGAAACGGCCTCCCGAAGACACGGTGGTGGAGCCCCGGGATTGCCACAGAGGGTTCGAGGCCTGTGGAGGCAGGAAGTGTGAGAGAACAGGCACCATGAGGCCTGAGGGAACTGGGAGGCAGGGGGAAGGTAGAGGGGGCTGGAGAGGATGGCATCAGCTCTTTTCTATGGCTGGGCCCTCCTCTGAGAGCAGCTCAGGGTGGGTGGCCATTTAGATGTTGTTTCCCACCTTTATTTTATTACCCAGCCCACCTCGGTGAGTGTCCCTGCATCCAGAGCCTCGCTTCGGCCAAGGCCTAGTCAGAATGGGATCTCCCCAGAGGGGCCCGGCTTGGAGTTGTGAGGTGACATTGACCTTGGCAGGGAGGCTCGGGCAGGAAATGGACTTTAAGTGATGCTGGCAATGTCCTCCAGCCTGGGCTCTCCTGGGCCACATCTGGGGAAGATGCCCTGCAGCTCCGGGCAGGGGCTCAAGCAGAGACAAGTGCTGGGGAATTCTGGGAAATGGCTCCAGGGACTGGGAACCAGGAGTCCTGGGCTCTTTTGCTGCCCTTGACACTGTTCTACTATGTACATTTGGACAATATGCCCCAGGCCACAGACAACTGGCTCAGAATTGAGGAGGTGATGGCCTGACCCAAGCTAGACAAATCAAACCTTCTCTCCAGGTGCTTGGAATTGAGACATAGAACCTGAGGTGGCTAGACCACGTGCGGCCCTGGAACGGAAAAGACCCGTGGTGTTGGGCTACGAGTTGACGTTGTGGCCACCCAAAATATTGTGTAAGTAGAAATAGACAGTGTGAGGGCTCAGAAACTATGAACAGAGAAGGCTGGTCTGTAGAGAAGAAAAGAGTCAATTTGTAGAGAGCAGCAGAGATGAAACCCTGGTAGAGACTGCTTGCTGTACCTCGAGATCCACCTCTTCTTAAATAACAGAGCCCCTGAGATTTTGGCAAGATAACTGGAATAAAGAACACGTGTCTGCCCAGCTGGTGTGGCTCAGTGGCTGAGCATCGACCTATGAACCAGGAGGTCTCGGTTCAGTTCCTGATCAGGGCACATGCCCGGGTTGTGGGCTCAATCCCCAATAGGGGACATGCAGCAGGCGGCCAATCAATGATTCTCTCTCTTCGTTGATGTTTTTATCTTTCCCTCTTCCTTCCTCTCTGAAATAAATTTTTAAAAAGGACATGTGTCCAAGCCTCCCTTCCAGCTGGGTGTGGCCAGTAGATAGAAATGTTTTGTGCCATTTCTAGGGAGTATGCAGGTCCCTGAATAACACTGATGAGATGTCACAGGGCCTTAACTCTTGTTCATATCCATAAGCCTATCATAAAATTGGTTTCGGTGCCTGTTATTTCATTTAAAGTTTCAGAACCTGTGCACAACGTTAAGTGAAGAGTTAGTGTATCTTTGATGGGAGAGGCCTGCCCTAGTCCCCCTTCCTCCTTCCTCTGATTGAAATGAAGATGGAATGGCTCAAGTTGAAGCAGCGTCCTGAGCCAGGAGGTAGCCACATGTTAAGAATGGCACCAAGATAAAGGAGTGTCTCTGATGAGGCCGTCCAGGACCGCCTACCCATACCTTCACTTGAGAGAAAAAACAAATTTTTACCTTCTTGAAATGATTGTTATTTTGGGTTTTCTGTCACTTACAGCAGAATCTAATCCTAACCAGTTGGAAGACCACACACTCCTAGAGAATAATAGAGACCAGTCGCCTGTGACTTGGTGCACGTCCTGCGATTGGCTTCTGTCAGATTCTCCAAATCCTCAGGCCCCTAAGGTGTGTGCAGCCGCCGCCTGTGACACCTAGAGGGCACCCAAGTCCAGAGTCCTGGTGGGTCCTCTGGCAGCAAGAGATGTCGGCCAGGTCGGAAACGTGGCCCTGTGGCCCAGCGGGCAGCCTGTCCTGGGGAGAGTGACCGGCATGTTACAAAGATCACATTTTGGGGGGATTTCTTGAGCATTATAAGAAGCTAATGGTCATAAAGTTGGAACAGATTAGTTTGAGATTATCCAAGGCTGCGTTTGTCTTTCTCAGTGGCTAGATTGTATGAATATAGTTTAGTTTAGTTTAGTTAAGTTTAGTTAAGTTTAGTTTAGTTTAGTTTAGTTTAGTTTAGTTGTGGGTTAAAGTATAAAATCACCAGGCTTTTGTTTGTTTTAATATTTAGAGTCCAAGGGAGTAAGGAGGACTCTAAGCCTGTAGGCTCCTGCAGGGATCTTACTTCACTTTTGTGGATGGAAAGGGGTTCTATGGCAAGAAACCTCACAGGGTGACCTGATCATAAATTTCTCACTGGGCAGGTCATGGGGGGTAGTCATGCCTCAGGCATATAACTGTTATAGTAAAAGGCTTATCTTTGCCTTAAACAAGCCCTGTCCATTGTTCTTGTGCATCTAGGTTAACATACCTTTCAAGCTGCAATCGAGAGAGAGAGAGAGAGAGAGAGAGCATAATCTTAACTATCCTGTAATCCAAATCCTACCTTGCCTTTTCCACCTCCATGTAATCTTCCATATGTTCCTTCCTTAATGTTATTATTATTTTAAAATACATTTTTATTGATTTCAGAGAGGAAGGGAGAGGAGAGAGACCTAGAAACATCAATGATGTGCTGCCTCCTGCATGCTCCCTACTGGGGACTGACCCAGCAACCCAGGCATGTGCCCTCGATCGGAATTGAACCCAGGACCCTCCAGCCTGCAGGCTGACATTCTATCCACTGAGCCAAACCGGCTAGGGCGCCCTCCTTAATTTTATTTTTTTTATTTTTTTTTTTTAATATATTCTATTGATTTTTCACAGAGAGGAAGGGAGAGAGATAGAGAGAGTTAGAAACATCGATCAGCTGCCTCCTGCACATCCCCCACCGGGGATGTGCCCGCACCACAGGCACATGCCCCTGACCGGAATCGAACCCGGGACCTCTCAGTCCGCAGGCCGACGCTCCATCCACCGAGCCAAACCGGTCCTGGCCCTCCTTAATTTTAAATGAAGCTGCAAAAATGTTATTCTCTGGAGTATTTGAGATCTTGCTCCCTGGCATATGTCATCAGTTTGGCTCAAATAAACTCTTATAAAAAATTCTATACAGATTTCAATGTGTCTTACGTCAACACTTTGATTAGCTGGTGGGGAGCCGATAAAGATGTTTAGTAAATGTCTGATGGTAAAAAAAAAAAAAAAAAAAGTCATATTCTAAAGCGTTGGCCCAGAGCAAAGGCAAACTCATAGGTACCCTCTCTCTGCCACCTCCCTCCCTCACTGTACCCTTCCTCTGTACTCATTATTCAACATTCAACACATGTTTTGAGGGTCTGTTAAGTATCAAGCACTGTGCTGTGGGCTTTCCAGACATTTTTGAATTTAATCCTCAAGACTTCCTTGTACAGATGGTGGAGATGAGCATGTACCCCCTAACTTAGACTACAAGAATTATAATGTAGGGGCTAACATCTATTGAACACTTCCTTTATGCCAGGCTTTGCTCTAAGTCCTTTTATTTGTATTAACTCATTTAATCCTCATGTCAACCCTATGAAGTAGGTTCCACTCTTAGCCCCATTTTAAAGATAGGAAATTGTAGCCCAGACAAGTTAAATAAATTGCACATGGCCATCGGCTAATAGGTGGCAGAGCCAATATTTGAACTCAGGGCACTCTGGCTCCAGAGTCCATCCTAGTAATCAATATACCACACTTTTAGTTCCAACATTGGTCTCTATGAGTTTCAGGTAAAACAGATTTTAGTAAAGGTCATGGAGGCCAAACACCAACCTTTCACCAACGACAGAAACAACAGCCTAAAATTCAGCTGCAGCTTGAAGTTATCTGAGCAGAGATAAACAAATGATGACCCGTCAGATCAAAACCTCCGTGCTGTGGAACATGGTAAAGGCCCAGCTTGCAACCAGAACGACCTGCTTGTCTGTGAAAAGGAGAGGCAATACCTCCAATCTCAGGGAGACCTCCTTCCATGGATCTACGCATGCCCCCAGGGAGAATAATTCATCAGGTTCGGTGTGAGAAATGTTCTGACGCAGCATAACTGCATCGAGACACTCAACTGTCTACTAATCCCAGTTATGCCCCTCTATTCACCAGAGAAGCCAAGGACTCAACAGAGATTGCAAACCAATGATAACGCCCAGCTAGCCAGTTTGCCGTTCAGAGAACCGTGGAAGAAAGCCAAGGCAAATGGAAGGTTAAGTATAGAATTCACTTTCAGCATCAGATAAAACTACCCCTATTCAAAGAGGAGTGATAAGCCGAAGGGATCTAACAGGAGATGCAAGCCAAGATAGTACAAAAAGAACAGGAAAAAGAAAGCATGACAAGCAAAGGACAGACGAAGAATACACTTTGGAAGAAGAATTGCTCCAAGAAATAGGACAATTTCAACATAACATTTTGAAGGAAATAAAGAAAACAGTCCCTTTGATTAAAGAAGAGATATAAGTGATCAGAGTTGGAGAAGAACAGTAAGCTGGCAGAATTAAGGAAATAAATCGAGTAAAATATATAGCAACATAGTAACAAAATGCACATTTGACACAGAAGGAACTAGAATCTATGATACTGATCCAAGTTACATAGATTGTGTAACATAACAGAGATAGAGTAATCAGGACTACATGGTACAATACAGATCAACCTGGAAGACATTTTATGCTAAATGAAATGTCTGGCACCAAAGGACAAATATTGTACGATCCCTCTTCTATGAGGTACCTGGAATAGTCAGATGCATAAAGATAAAAAGCAGAATGGTGCTTGCCAGAGGCTGGGGGAAGGGGAATGGAGAGATATTGTTTAATGGGAACAGAGTTTCAGTTTGGGAAAGTGAAAACGTTCTGGAGATGGATAGTGGTGATGTTTGTGAACAATGTGAATATTCCTTTATTTTTTTAATGCTCACCTGAGGATATTTTTCCATTGATTTTTAGAGAGAGTGGAAGGGAGGGGGAGAGACAGAGAGAGAAAAACATCGATATGAGAGAGACACATCGATTGGTTGCCTTCCACATGTCCCCTGATGGTGTGTGTGTGTGTG